GTGGACGCATCCAAAGAGATATCACTCCAGTGCCAATTTTTAGGATACCGACCGACAATTCCCTCCCTTGGCATTCGTAATCCAACAGTGATGTTGAATGTTGAATGTTTGTTGAATACTTTATTCTGTATGTCCCCTATTTACCTCACCACTTTCTCACTTCTCTAATACCTCTGCTATTCTTCTCACTACACAGATTTTGATGCCTGGTAGTGCTTGCTTCTAATATACACCTGTACCTAACTCGAAGACTTCGAGCAATTCTCCTCTGGCTACAACAGTCAATACTGATCTCACATACGAATGCTCTATCAGAGTTGAGACTCGTATTTTCCGATGCTCTACTGCCTTTCCTTATTAATCTTGCCTACTTTTGAAACCTGATTCAAGAGGAGAACTGGAGACAAGTGCAATCCTAACTCAGTGGAGGCATAGAGTGTTTAGTGTTGTAAAGCGAACACGTACATATTGCCATTTGTGTGCTCACTCTCTTCATTTTATCGTAATGCCTCATCCAGTAGAATGCATTTATCTGTGATTACATGATATATGAATTAGTAGCAATGCCTTTGTCCACTTCACCTTTTCCCTCTTCTGAGGGTTATCCAATGGGACACCTTAAAACAACTAGACAATTGCTGTGAATTGGAGGGGGGGGGAACGCTGCCTTTTTGGATAAGTGAAAAGATAATTCCTTGGTAGGAGGATAACTTACACGCAACATTAAGGCAAAGCCTGCACCTGATTTTCTTTAATGTCATCTGCATTGACCATCAGTAATAGGTGGGACCGTAAAATTTGTGGCACTGGACAGACAGAGCACTGATCACTAGCCCAAGTGATAGACGTCGCGGCTTTTGTGGTTATTATAACTACGGGAAATGTGAACATAGCAGGTCAAGCTTACCCATTTGACGCACTGCTTACAATGACTCGGTAACTGGAAAGTGTGTGGAAACTTATCCAAATGGGAACTTTAACTACCACATTCGATTGTGTGGAGGATAGTTTGGAGTTAAGCTTGATCAGTGGGGAGGTTGCATCATCGAATAGCAATTGGTAAAATGATAAGGGGTCGATTTGGATTTTTGTTGGATTGTGTAATGCCTCAGGTACATCCATTCGTTTAACTGAGGGTGATTACTCATTTTCATTGAATACTGACTCATTTTTGAAGCATTAACTAAAGGCGACGAAAACGTGTTCCACCTTTAATGGGGGTATAAGTTTCATACCGCTGATGTGGTGCAGTTATATGAATGCCACCCTGATACGTCTACCATTTTATGCGTATTAAGACACAACTTAGCGCCTTCTGACACAGTTAGTGACTGCAACTACAACCACATGTATTTTTGGGCAAGTTTCTACATCTAGCGCTATTATTGTCCCAGGGTATCATCGATTATTGAACGACCTGTTATTAAATTAATTCGTTAATCAATAATTCAACAAATAGAATGCATGTCAAAATTACACTTTTAAAGCGTTAAGTAGCTCGTCTAATGTTCAGAGTTTGCACAGCACAACCATTTTAATCACTACTCTGTTACCTTATAGCTACTAGAGCTAGTGCTTTCAACAAGCTCCTCATCCAGGTTTTGACCCTTTAATGGGTACAGAGGTCTTTTCACAACGACTGAGCCAATCACTTGCAGTACATGCAGGACCTAAGGGATGTTTCGCTCTAGATGTCTTTGCACAAGAAAGTCAACTTTTTCACCTCTTACCGCCATTATCTCCACAACCACTATCACTAACATAGAGGTAACCGCAACTGGGGCTGACTTGGATACCCTCCACCCATCTCAAACCTTCCTTCTCCACTCCAGCCGACATTCGTCAACCCTCATCTCTTTCCTACTCTACTTACTCCCTCAATCTGCATCCACAAATGCGACTTACAACAGAACTGCCATCGCGCCTCCTTTGACGTCCATTACCTCCTGTTCCATGACCCTATCAGAATACGACCAGCTATCATCATAATTTTTGACCACCGAAATTGTCGGAAAAATTGATAAGTACCTCCTTTCCTCTTACACACTGCTTCCTGTACTTTGCATCTGGATGGAATGCAGTCTGAGCTACCAACACTGATGAGTGCAGTTTGATGACGATGGCATGGAATCGGCAAAGTAGGAGTCAAAATGTGGCCTATCGGACTATCTGACTGTCAGATGATGGTCAGAAATGGAAGAGCAAGCAGAGAAGTAGCAATTACCACCCTTTGGATGGAATACACTCCAATCACGTCGCCATTGCTGACCATCGTGTC